TCTCATATCAATCCACTATTGTTGAAGGTGGGAGAGAACTGGCCGTGCTGACCATGCCATGTGTCAAATCGTGGATCAGCTCCCACCCGGAGAAAGCAAGATTCCCATCCCCTCTGGCCAGTAGATTAGAACTAGACTCGTCCAGGGAAAAAAACGGGATTCCTCATTACTGGACCCTAGCTTGCTATTCTATAGACCATATTCCATTCAGGCCATTCTAGGCAGTTGTTGACTATTTGGGCTGGTCTGCGTATTATCAAGAGGCGTGACAAGAAGGAGAAACCTTTGGAACGCTATTGTTATGGTATTTTACAGCACTATCTTAATAAGATAGGATCAAAAATAATGGGATAACCACGTTCAAGTAGAGTCAGGAGTATTTACGAAGTGAAATTAGAAAATAAACGGTATGATAAGTGACTGTGTTGATTCCACTTAAGAAAGCCCTACTCGGTGCGCACTACCGTTTCTCGAACACGATTCCAACTTGCACGAACAAATACGTAAAGCACTCCTTGCCGTAAGGCTAAAAGTATGCTAAGGAAATAGCAAAGGACTCATACAGGCAAGAATTCAAAAGTCCAAGGTCATAAGTCAAGGGAATAGGGAAGTCGGGGATTTTTGACCATTGAAGCAGAGCAAGCTTTAGCCTTGGCATCTAAGTCCTCTGCAGTGTCCTTTCTGCACATTCAGCAATGCAGCAGTTCAGAGGGAACCAATCTCACTACGGCTCAGAACGCATGGAAGGAAATGGCTCAGTATTGGATGAAAATTGCTTAGAGAAGCCATTATCCTCTGAAGGGAGTATAGCGATCCTGACTGATAACCTGTAGTGCATCTGACCTCCTAGATATCTCCCATCCTTCCAGGAATTCGTTTCACGTTACATGAGATTTGATCAAGATGTAAAGTGTAACTGCCCTCCGCTTTGAGTATTTCATATCTTTCCACTTTCATCTGTCACATTCGAAGACTCTCTTTTCTCGCATTATCGAAGAATGATCTTTTCCTGATGCATATACCTACCGGGTAATACTTCTTGAGATGTTGAAGGTATCGTTACCTCGAGCTTCATGATCCATCTGAATCTCAAGTAGATCACCGATTGTTTTCACCTGGAATAGCGCATGACGATACATATATTTACTGGAGGATGTTCACAACTACTTATCTAGTGGTTTTGTTGTCACTTGACAACTACTTATCTAGTGGTTTTGTTGTCACTTGACACACCTGGATCTCCTTCGGAGTGAACATTTTTGCATCCAAATCAACCTCGAAATGCGTTGCATCGTCGACGACCTGAAAAGCGAGCACGTATAATAAAAGCTAAATAAATAGATGTTTTGACAGAGGTCAACCCGTTTTGGGACGTTGCCAATGCACAAGTCTGTGTTTTATAACTTCCAGGAGGAGGTGATATCTACTCGCCGACCCCCGGTAAAGGAAAGCCTGGATCCTTGGGTCGGGGATTGATATTTGTTCTATTATTATTTTTATGTCCTATTATTATTTTTTCGTATTTGTTCTACAAGCCGGTGTGCCGTAAGCTACGCCACCTTCACTACTCTATCTTTGACTGAACACACACGCAGTATTATCAGTTAGACATACAGCCCTCACCGAACCCAGATGAGAAAGAACGTTACTGCATACCTTCACAAATTCATCGTTTGTCTGGAGAGGCCAGTCCCATTTGACATCCTTACTGTATTCAATGGGAATGCTCATGTTTGCTGCACAAAGATTGGTAGGGTTCTGAAAGAGTTATCGTGTACCAAATAAGTACGACCAGAGGAAGAAAGAGTCTACAACGACAAGACGGAGGCCTACTGTTAGGAACGGATAAGACTGAGACAATACAAGATATTGACATAGACTTTGAAATGTCTGCTGTTGTTGACGAAGAGATGTTGACCAGCTCAAGCGCTTTTATACTAGTGGCGAGGGCGTTGCGCTTTGCCGACATCAGTTACGGCACGGCGCTCTCTGAATAACAGGTATGAAAACACTCACGGATGAGAGTCACGAGAGTATGCATCCCGTTATCTATGGCAGAGCTCGAGCGCGGCTGTTGTTGACCGAACTCCAATGGAATGGCAAGATGTGATGATTTCGCCGAGCTCGGTCTGGCCTGACATATAGTCAAAGGGAGAAAAAATGGACGCTGCGATTATAATGAATTAATTTTATATTTTCTCGACTACCACATGTTCCACATATGACATGGACGCTGTAAACCATTTCATCTAATCATGCGATAATACAAAACACAGCCAAATGGATATGCTTCGGGAAGTGCACTGACCTTTCAGGTTAGATAGTCAGTTCTTCTTATCCATCTAGGGAAAAATTTATCTGCACATCGCTCTCATAAAGAGGGATGACATTTTTGTTGGTAACAACGTTATTCACGATTGCTTACCGTAGGTACTAACGTTCAAAAGAGGAAGCTTAACAGATAATCAAATTGGAAAAAGGAGTGATATTCATTTTGAAAAAGGAAAAAAAATCAAACCTTTGAAAAAAACTTAAAAGGCTCTTCAATAAGGAGGATCGTGGGGCTCGAATACTCAAACCCTCATGGCGAACTGGGCGAAAGGTCAGTTAGTAGGCAACCCCATGATGAAGAAATTGGAGAAATGCTGTCCGAAGTGCCTAAATAGGACTCCAACCGTAATTTGCTTGTAGAGCTCAAAGCGAGGTGGGTGATGGTTGGACAGAAGTTCTCACTGTTTGAGTAACAAAAGTGGGTCAACATTTTTATTCCTTTTTCACTTAAACTCTTCTAATTGGAATGAGCGAATCCTTAACAGAAGCATCCTTCACAATAAGTCTCAGACGTTGTGTTGAGTGGGCGGGCATCACTTTTGCGCGATAGAGTGCACCTTATTAGGTATTGTTATGGCAGAGAAGATCATTGAATGCTTGCGGAGGACTCAAAGAGATGTTGATGCGAGTTGGGTGTCATCAGTTTCGAGCTGCTAGTATTATGACACTCGACTGAATCACAAATTGAACTCATGTATGAGAGGGTCATTTACATCTAACGGCAATGCTGACATTTTCCTGCGGGCAGTTGGGGGCTAATAGAGGACGCTGCGATTATCTGCATTCTGCTAAGACTGAGCCCAATCTAAAGATAACCACTCCTTTTACCAGGCTCAGCCAGATCGTTGAGCGGTGTGCAGTGAAATTAGGGATGTTCGTGGTGCCGGTCACAACACTTCATGAGTACCGCCAGCAGCCAGAACTAAATGGGTCCATAAGGCATCACTACCAAGAATCGGATCCTGCACATCGCGGAACATGCTTTTGACTAAGACCCTATATATTTGTTCTGAACACTGGACGCTTTTACCAGGATGTGAAATACATATTTGAATTTGCTCCCTTTACGCCATCATCGATGGCCTGAAGGAAAATTTCCTTTACTGTATTGGTGTTGATGAGCCCTTGTCGTTCTTATAGTTATTGCGGTCAGCTAAAGCTGAAACGCCAACAAGCTGACGAAGAGCGCATGAAGACGCTCTACCGCTCCGAAAGCTACGAAGTGTTGTGCAGCCGATCTTCTGTGGGCACTTGCCTGACAAATAGGTCGCGAGACGAACAAACTGCAAGTTTCTGACGCCTCAAGTAATGAAAATGATAAACTCTCCGCCAATGTGAACTGACTACCGAATAGGCAGAAGCATTTCCCCTGTAAAGTGGTCGCGAATGGTGCCTTAATTATGCCACATTTGGAGGTATTCTACGTACACCTTATAAAATGTGAACTACCCAGTTTTACGCAACACTAAACATATCCTTCATTATCAGTACCGGTGGTGACTAACTTGTTATCCAAACTTCTGCAGCTGTCACTAGGCACAGAAAACAGTGCGCGACCGCTTTGTTGTTCTCCTAAAGGGCAACACATGGAAAACAACGGACCAGTCATCACTTCCGTCGAGCCAGTTCCACCATAGGGCACATGGGCACATGCTCGCCAGCCGGTGAAGGACTGAAGGTTGAGGCTAGACTATCGCCCGAAATGCGATGGGCATCATCCGATGTGTCTTAAGACAGTGTTTCCGAAAAGGCTGCTTGCATTGAGGCACCGGAGTTCAAGATTAAGTGGCTGGCCTCAGGTCCGCTGCACTTTGATGCAGTCTGTTTCATATTCAAAACAGCTTCAGGCGCGAAACATTTTTTTATCTTTTATTTTTCGGTGTGAGGCTGATTGAGAGCCAACAACCTGCGTAACCCCGTTCAGGGAATACTAAGTCAGATTCGGAAGATCTGTTCGTAATCACCGACCAATGACACAACAGACTGTATACATTTCGAACGAACGGCCATTCCGGTCTACAAACCTCCTGTCTAAGTAAAGATGAGTCTGTAAGTATACATTCTGAATAAACAGGTGACACAGGTCATCTACTATGTATCAGTCACACTTGCTTGTGATATCATAGCGAAGGCCAGGGTTTGTCCCACAAATTTTTCTCTGGTTTCAGTAAACAATGTGGAACGTTGCCACTTTCTGCATCCTCCTTGCAACGAGGTTGTTAGGTGGAACATCTACATACTGAACTCGGCCCACCGTTTCGACTGAATCGTCGCCTGCAGGGCTCTGAACATATTCCAAGATGTAAGTTTCTGAACACCCCACCAAGTGCCTCGTCAACTCTAGTGGTTCCCACATAATGTCAGGAATATCTTGAGACCAATGCCGTCAGAGACGAACACAGACAACTCCCGCTCATCGCGGAAACAGTACGCTGCCACACGAGAGCGTTTAACGGTAGTAAGTAAGGAGTACCATTTCCCTCAAACCAGCTGTAGAACGAAATATGTGTAAAGAGTGCTTGTGGGAGCAGAATGTATAGAGTGCTAGCGAGTTGAAGGATAGCCTCTTGGCAGATTGGTTATCCGGAGCATAGATTCATCGAAATCGAGTATTGGACGGGTGGGATCCTGTCCCCCATGGGATCTCACTGTGAGAGAGGATAAGACCTAATA